GCTCTTTTGGGAAGGGACTGCGGAGAATATGTGGTCATTTATAAATGTACTATAAACATTCGTGGTAAATATTGGCTCATTTAATCCTCACAACAACCCTGTGAGGTACATTCTTATTCCTACTAAGAAGAGGAAAATGAGGCACAGAGAACAGGTAAGTTGCTAAATGTCACAAAGCTTGGGGTAGTACAGTGTGATAGTGCTTTAAAGTTGCTGCTTATAATTATTATGTCTCACAGTCACTATTAGGACTAAACCAAAACCAAACTAAACTCACTGCTGTGGAGTCAGATCTGACTCATAGCAACCCCTCCTTGGGTTTCTGAGGTGGTATCACTGTGGAAATAGGTTGCCCAACCTTCCTTCTGAGGAGTGGCTGGTGGGTTTGAACTGCCAGCCTTCTGGTTAGCAGTCAGATGCCTTAGGCACTATGCCACCAGAGCTCCTCTATTAGGGCTACCTTGTTATTTCCTTCTTTGCATCCTGTACAGAAAGGTATTGGAAATGTCATATATGTTGTACCACTAAATTGTCACCAAACCAAATCTGTTGCTGTCAAATTGATTCCGACTCGTGGTGACCCAATGTATTACAGAGTAGAACTGCTCCAGGAGGTTTTCTTGGTTGTAACTTTTATGGAAGCAGATCTCCAGGCCTTTCTTCTGCAGTGCTGTTGGGTGGGTTTCAACCACCAACCTTTGAATTAGTAGTTGAGTACAAACTATTTACATCTCTTGTAGACCTTGAATCATTATAAGTAGCCTGAACTGGAGAATTTTAGTCCCAGTTTTCAGATGGGGAAACTGAGGTTCATAAAAATTAAGTCACAAGAGACTGTTGATGTACTGTTCTACATGCAACTGTATGGTCTCTACAAGTAACTCATAATAGTGCTGGGGACTGATCCTATTTTTTTATTTTTTAAACTCCTGCTCAGAATCGCTGGTGGTGTAACAATTAAGTGCTTGGCTGCTAACTGAAATTTGTTGGTTCAAACCCACCCAGCAGGTCTAGAGGACAAAGACCTGATGATCTGTTTCTTTACCCAGAAAATTCTGTGGTGCAGTTCTGCTGTGTCACCTGGGGTCACTATGAATTGAAGCTGAGTGGGCAGCACCCAGCAACAACAGCAATCTCCTGCTTCTCTCTACAGAAGTTAAAAAAGAAAAAAATCTGTTGATGTGTTGATGATATTTCACACAAGTAGATGAAATAATAACATGTTTTTTAGATGTCCAGTGGAGCCCCAGAATAGAAGCAGGATGAATATTCCATTCCGCATTGGCAATGCCAAAGGAGATGATGCTCTAGAAAAAAGATTTCTTGATAAAGCTCTTGAACACAACATGATGTCCTTGAAAGGGCACAGGTGAGTGCACATCCAATCCAGAAGCTCGTCAGAACTGGCTTAGTTTTTCACATGCAGAATGTAGTGTATCCAGGAATCTGCCCAACTCCAAGGAGCACCTATGTAACTTGATGGGAAAAAGCACTAGTCATGGTGGTAATTCCTCTTGTCATTTATAGTATTCTTTGCATGGCTTCCTGGCCAAGAAACCCGTCTTCTACGAGTCATTTTCATATGTCTCAATTCAGACTAGCTCAGCTTTATTTTTATTAGTGTATTTGGGTTTCATGTAAGATTTTGTTTGAGGAGAGATGTTCTGCTAAAAACACTTGGACACTGCTGATCTGAAACACCTGCAAGGCCAACCACACTGGGATATGAATTAAAGGCTTAGATTAGTGTCCTGGGACACATCAAGGCATTTGTATGGCACCATGACATTTGTCTCTAGGTTTTGCTGATGAGAATTAGGCTGCCCAATCCTAGTCATGTTTAATTTTGTCATCACTGTGTAGATGTGGATAAAATCATTCTATCATGCTCAATGTATTCTTTTATAAATGTAGCAATTGCTCATTGAAAGCTGCACTACTAAAGGTCCATAATAGATTTCATGGTTCTCCAGTGAAGAGGGAAGGTGCTAACTAGCCGTGTGGTTCAACGTACATCGTTACAGTAACTGCTTCCCTCTGAGGAATAAAGAGCCAACATTACAGCCTCAGAATTCTCTTGTAATAAGTAAATAAAAAGAAATGTGCACACTTGTTCTATGAATAAAGTTTCTTTAGTGATTCTTCTGTATTCCTTGACTCTCTTCCATCTAATAGTGAATCACTGTTACTCCATATGAACATCAAACAAAATGGTTAATCTTGTATGTTTTATGAAAAACACATGTCCTTACCCTTGGAAATAGTGCCCAGGCAGCAGTGAGAGGCATACACTGCAGGGGGTCCTGGGCTCCCTGCCACCTTCTCGCCTACACTGTGTGGCAAAGATTGTTGAGTGGCATGGTGAGCAGAATCACTCACCTTAATTGACTGAAAAGTCTTCCCCATTTTATGTTTTCTTTGCCAAGAGTGAAGAGTTGCATTACTTTAAGTGAAGTGTGGAGCATGGTAGACCTTCAGTGCATATGGGAGAATTTTCTAATGACAGATGTCTGAAGGTCCTGGCCAGTTAATGGGGACTTTCAGGTGGGGGGTTGGACAAGATGGTCTCAGGTACTATGACTCTCAGGAGCAGGGTAGCTGGAAGGAGCATTGTCTTGAGGGTAACCAAGTTAGACACGTTTGTCTTAATGGCTGGTTCTTTGGTTGTCCCAGGTCCGTAGGAGGCATCCGCGCCTCTCTGTATAATGCTGTCACCATCGAAGATGTTCAGAAGCTGGCAGCCTTCATGAAAAATTTTTTGGAGATGCATCAGCTGTGAACACATCCTGACCAATGTATACTCTGTTGTTGAACAATGTACGAAGTTTCACATGGCAAGGGAATGGTTACCAAAACTTAACACAGTATTTTTCTCTTAATATAAATTCTTCATTTTTTAAAGAACAACAACAAAACATCAAGAGCTCTGCAGAGCTGGTAGAACTAAAAGATCACTTTACTCTGACTTGAACTGGAGGCATTTTTTTCAGTCTTCCTATTGCTTTTCTAACTCAAGCTTATTTTGTCTTTGCTGCTACTTTTTCTAGCTAGAGCTCAGTATTCAAACTTGCATGTGGACTGAATTATGCAAATTAACAGTTAATTATTTCTGGAGAGACACACAAACTCACCGTACGGAGGGTGGGTGGGACCCACTAGGTGCTGAGTCTAGATCTTTTCCAAAATGACAGCAGTGGGGTCTCCTGGGTTCAGCAGTCGTTAAGATTGGCCATTTGATGAATATTTGGGACTTGTAGGCAAAGGGCAAACTATAGGTCATTCTTTATACTGTTACTCTCATAAAGAATAAAAGTGGCATACTGTATTTTATAAAGCAAGGTCTGTTTTTAATACCATATAGTTTATATCTCTGTGCATTTATATTTCTAGTAATGAGGTTTCTTGGTGACATATATAGACTTTTCAGAATTTGTTAGAATCCTTGACCTCTAGTGCATTACAGCATCACATTAGCAACAATTGTCTCTTTTATAAGCTTCTTCAGACAATTGAGATTGAGAAGTTGTGTACTTCATTCTTATTCTCTTTTCATTACCTAGAAGAGAAGGTTGTTCAGTTTGTTTTTCAGTAATGCCTTCAAACTACAAATCTGTTAAATTCCGTTATCCTTTGTTAATTTGACTGTTCTCTTTATTGTGTTCAACCAGAATAATACTGTGAGTTCCAGAAGAATCTTTATTGAAGAGTCTTTTTGCCTCTTGTTTATCCATTGTCAGTATTTTACGTTGAACCTGTGAAGAACATTAAAGTACTAATACATCTAAACCCTTGTCAGTGGGTTTCTCTACCTGCTCATTAGACAAATGGTTCTTTAAACTTTATGATGGGAGGAAAAAAAAACTTGAATATGAAAATAGTACCTGATAATGATAATTTAGTTAAATGGAAGATATAGAATTTAAATCTTATGCATGCATTTTCAAAAATGATTTACCAGTGTGTTAGTTCTCTGTTTGTTTTTGGTATGGACATGATCAGCAAAACACCTTCCAATACAGCTCATGGTATAAAGTTCTGTGAACTCTGCTACACACACCAGAAGCATGCCAATATGACAGTTGTGAGCTATCTTTGTGTTTCGTTTGGTTGTGTAATGGGACTACACTGATCTCTTGTCTTAGTGCTGCACCAATTAGGTGGGTTGCCATGGGTAAGTCACAGCCTCCCGTCTTGGTTCTCTTTGTAAAATGAGGATTGAGATATTATCTCCACATAAGTCAGGCATGTTTAGGGATTTAAAACATGGTCAGAGTTCAGTGCTGGATGGGACTGTAACCACACTAATAGCAAAAGTCAGGCAGTCCATGGAATCCAACTAAATATTCCGTATGTAATAGCAGCACTCAGTCAAGCTTCCTTCCCCAGCCTTCATATGATTGTTGCAAATCCCTGTTGTTTCACCTCTCTGTTTCTTAAGTCTCCACTTCCATTCCTATTCTCAGCCCATAGTGCTGTGTCAACCCTCGGTGGATTATTTCAGTAGCCTTCCAAATGGTCTGCTTGTCAACAACCTCATCTCTGCCACCCCACTCCTTACACCACTGCCTGTAGGAATATTACTCTCCCTCCTGCTCCTCACTGATACAAAAGCCCAGGCTTCTTAAGCTGATGGTCAACAGTTTTATAACATCCTGCCTGGTCTGGCCCTTTAGGTCTTCTCTGGTACTTTAAATGTGGCACCCATTTCCCATACTATGATATAAAACCAAAAATGATATTCTCAAATAAATGTTCCTATCTCCACTCAACAAGGCCACCCTGCTTTCAAGACTCCTACCAATATCCTCTTAACTTTTTTTATCTCCTCCATTGGAACAGTGTTCTTTTTCTTTGTTCTTACAAAGGCAACCCTTTATCCCATCAGAACCAAAACCCAAACATCCAATTGCTATTAAGTTGATTCCAACTCATGGCGACCCCATGTATGTTAGAGTAGAACTGTATTCCATTGGTTTTCAGTGGTTGATCTTTTGGAATCAGGTTGCTAGGACTTTTTTTCTGAAGTGGCTCCGGGTGGATTTGAATGGCCAACCTTTTGTTTAGTAGCGTTTAACCATTTGCACCACCCAGTGACTCCTTATCCCATCAGAACAACTCTTTTATTCTGTTCTTTTTTGTACTCAGTTATGTGCGTATCTACCTGCCTTTCATAGTGAAGCAGTGTGGAAGGAAACATGTTTCTCAACCTCCAGCACTGGACACTTGGCCTTTTCCTTGAGTTGCTCAGTAATTATTTAATGAATGAGAAATCTTGTTCATTTTGGTCTTCCTGAGTATTCCAAGCTGAGCTGGAAAGAAAGCCAAAGGTACCATCTCTCATATGTATGGACTTTTTATTTGAAAAAAATAGAGTACAATTTCATTTTCCACTAAAATGATGAAACATGTTTTTGTGGTTAAATGGGAAAATTTAAGACTTGGAGGGCCCCCAGAGTCATCCTTATAAACTGGTAAAGCCTTCTGGAAAATGGTTAACAACTGCATATGTACAAGAGGTAATTACTATTGTCTGGCCAGGCAGAGAGGCTCTGGATTGCTGGAAGATAGTCATCAGAGTGAAAAACTTGACCTCTGTATGTCTCCAGTGAATGAACTGATACCAATCTGCTGACCACGTGGACAGAAGTGGAAGGGGAGATAAGGATACAGGCTCCCAGGTCAGCAGGCTGTGGGTGCCAGAGGGGACTGGTCATTCCTTTAAGATTAAAAGCAAAGAAGCAAGGATGGTGAGACTTTGTCTCACATACTTTGCTCATGTTATCAGGAGGGAACCAGTCTCTGGAGAAGGGCATCATGCTTGGTAGAAGGTCAGCTAACAAGAGGGACCCTCAATGAGATGGATGGACATTGTGGCTGCAACAGTGGGTTCAAACACAACAACAACTATGAGGATGGTGCAGGACTGGGCAGTGTGTAAGGTTCCCATGAATCAGAAGTGCTTCATAGGCACTAACAGCACCTAACAACAACAAAGAATCACGAGGCCACTCCTTACATCGCCTCCCCATGGCACCAAAGAAAGTCTTTACTGCCTCTTGGTCTATCGACAAGTTCTTTATGATCTGCACAGTTGAATGCCTCTGCATTGCAGTAAAACACAGGTAAACATCTTTCTGGTATTCTTTCCTTTCAGCCAAGATCTATCTGATATCAGCAATGAAATCCCTTGTTAAACATCCTCTTCTGAATCTGGCTTGAATTTCTGGCAGTTACCTGTTGATGTACTACTACAACCATTTTGATTTATCTTCAGCAAAACTTTACTTGCATGTGATATTAATGATATTGTTTAATAATTTCTGCATTTTGTTGGATCACCTTTCTTTGGAATGGGCACAAATATGGATCTCTTCCAGTCAATTAGCCAGATAGCTGTTTTCCAAATTTCTTGGTATAGGTGAATGAGAACTTCCAGCATTATATTCATTTCTTGAAACATCTCAATTGGTGTTCAGTCAATTCCTGGAGCTTGTTTTTCACAAATGCCTTCAGTACAGCTTGGACTTCTTCCTTTATACCATTGGTTCTTGATTATATGCTACCTCCTGAAATGCATTCTCTAAATCATACTTCTTCCTCCAGACAGTTTGAAGTATTATTTTTCTCTTTCAAAATTCTTTATGACATATAATCATTGTTTTAATGCTATGCAGAGAGAAAAAGCAAATTTGTCTCCTTGTTTATCTCCATAACTGCTTTGTCTCTGATACTGCAATTCTGTTTTTTGTCTACACACAGGAAACAAAATTGTGTTCCATGCTTTAACTCCTCATCCCCCTGCGATCCTGTTGTTGTGTGCCTTGGAGTAGATTTTGACTAGGGTTTATAACAACTAGGATTTCCTAGGCTGTAATCTTTATGGGAGCAACTTACCAGGTCTTTTGACCTGCAGAATTGCTGGTGGGTGCGTGCTGCTGACCTTTCAAGCACCTAACCATTGCACCAGGAGGGCTCCATCCTGCTATTCTAGTTTTAGCTAAATACCCAATACTGTCTTGGAGTTCCCAGATGATGCAGACAGTTAATGTGGTCAGCTAACCAAAAGGTTCAAGGTTGCAATCCACCCAGAGACTCCTCAGAGAAAAGCCTGTGATCTACTTCTGAAAAAGCCATTGAAAACCTTATGGAGCACCATTCTACTCTGATACACATGGGGTTTCCATGAGTGACAGTTGACTCAACAGCAAAACTAGTTAATGCTGTCTAATCACAACTTAGCTGATGTTGGAAAATCTGGCATGCTCTTAGATGAACCATGTGATGTTACAAATAATTATTTCCTCCTCCATTCTTTAGAGCTGAAGGAACCACTAAGACCCACAAAGCTGGACAGACCCACTGAAAGATTAAAACCAAAAACCTACTGTCATCGAGTTGATTCCAACTCACAGTGATCCAATAGGACTGCCCCATATGGTTTCCAAGGCTGTAAATTTTTACAGAAGCAGACTGCCTGACCTTTCTCCCGTGTAGTGGCTGGTAGGTTTGGGTTTGAACCGCCAATCTTTTGGTTAGCAGTTAAATGCCTTAACCACTGCACTACCAGATTAGATACCTAATTTGGCTGAAGGCATTCTCAGGTCTGGCCTTGTATCACTCTATGATTAATATTTGTTGTATTGTGTTCTTTGGAAGGAAAATAAAATGAAGCATTTTCTCACATTTGATCAGAATGAGCATAATTAAAAAGTGAAATGCTACTGGGTCTGCTAAGAAATCAATCACTTTAATTGGAAAGAAGATTCCTTGCCTCTGTTGGTAATTGGGCTCTTGGTAATTTAAAATTGGAATCTATGACAGTTTGTGACAAATTGGCTGCTTTTAGGCTAAAGAAGGTAAGAAGTTCTAATTATCCCTGGATTATTCCAGAGTGGTTGGAAGAGCTTGATCAAAGAGATTTTGGGAGAGAGGTAGGATAGTTAGCAGTGAGCAAAGATTTATTGAATTTTTTAAGATGCTAAAGAATAAAATAGTCCATTTGATGTGACAAAAACAAGAGTATGTGGTATTAGAAATCTCAAAGATTTAAATTGGATTTTCTAAGAAAATAAGGAACTAGAAAATAAGGAAATTAGAAAAGCTTATATACATACAACTCCCTAAAATATAAGCAAAAATGAACAAA